TGGGCTGTAAAGTGGTGACACTGTTCTTTCTCAAGGCAATGTATCAGTAATACCGCCTTGTAAGTCAGAACAGCTTTTGTAAATCCACATGGAATTATTTGCAGTACTCTGATTTCTTGGAAGATCTTACTATGAATTTATAGCATGTCTAATTCTACCATTGGATATGTGCATACAACACCCATTGATGTCAATGGATGTGCATATCTACAGGCATAATTTTGCCCAGTATATTGCGTGCATGTACGCAAACACCCAAGTCCTGATTCTGCAAACACTTATGCACATGCTTAACATTATTAGTCCAATGGGACTGCTCATGGTAGTAAAGTTAACTACTTGTGTGTTTGCAGGATTGGGGCTATCAATTGGATTTGAATGGTGTAGAATTCTTACGCCATATTTGAAAATGTGTCCAAGGTTCTAGTGAATTGTTAAGTTCAATAGATGAAATCGTGGTCCCTTTGAAATCAATACAAGTTCTGCCATTGATTTCAGTGGATCCAGGATTTTACCTTAAATGTCCAGTTGGGGTCCACTTCAGTATCTTGTTATGGTTGGCTCATAAAATGGGACCATTGGCATTTTTTTAGTTACCTTCTTGCCTGCTCGCATGTATTTAAAAACCTAAGATAAGATCAAATGTGTGAAAGGAGAATAACTTACTGTGGGTCAAGTGCTACAAATTTTTAAACAAATAAAAAATAATCTGGCAACAGAATAAAATCCTCACATAACTGATGGAAATACCTGTAACAAAACACAAAAAGGACTAGATATACTCTGTACATAAAAACAGGCCTGGATCTGCTGTCCTTGCTCTAGTAAAACTTCCTTCGAGACTAATGGCTGCAGGAACAGGCTTGAAGGGATAATGTATGCAGTGATATCTGCAGTGAAGTCCTGCTGCTGAGTAAGTGGATATCTTCTAAGGACTTAATCCTAAAAATAACGTCAGTGGGAGTCTTTCAGTTGACTAGAGTGGACTTTAGATCAGGCCCTCAGAGAAACGCTATAGTAATTGAAGGCTAAGCATTCAAGTGGTCTCCACTCTTGTTTTCATACTTATATACTCTGAAAAGTAGAGTTAGTCAAAAAATTTTGAATGGAAAGTGTATTGAAATATTCCCCAGTTCTCTCCTGAAAATGATGAAAATTTTATCAAAACCCTATTGACTTTTTCAACATTTTTTTTCAAAACTTTTTATTGAAATGTTTATTAAAGTAGGGTTTTTTTTAATCAAAAAGTAGGTTTTTGGTAAAATGGTTATGAAAACCTGGTTTTTGGTAAACGAAGAAAATTGGAAACCATTTTGCCAATGTTTAGGGTAAAAAATTGATTAAAAATACCCCAAATAGGTCAGTTTTGAAACCTACCAAATGGAAACAACTTTGAAATTTCAAAAATTTGTCATGATATTTTTCTCATTTTTGATCAGTTCTTTTAATGAGATTACATTTTGACTAATTCAATAGACTGTTAACTTGGTAGTTAACATTAATGATTATTTTAAATATCTAATACCTTCTTAAATACTTGCACAATCAGCGAAAATTTAGCTGAGCAATATTTCTTTTTAGGCAGTATCAATTTTCTCCCTTAGGCTCCAATCCTGCAACAATTTATGCATATGACTATCTTAATACATGTGAATAGTCTTCAACTCAGTGGGACTGCTCACATGTGTAAATTTACTCCTGTGCTTAAGTGTTTGCAGGATTGGGGCCTCAGGCACACATGTGTGCAAGTTAGCTTCATCCTTGTTTGTAATCCAATGCTAGGGAAAGAGAGAATTGTGAGGATCCACATTCCTTCATTCTGTGGAATCCCCTTCTGTTTCTCATTTGAGGGTTCTGATGGCTAGACTGGAAACAATCCCCTTCAAAGCTAATGCCAGTGCTGTTTTTTGAACTACCCGGAAGTTTGACTGTATAATAAACAACTGCCTAGCTCAAGCAGGTTACCTCCTTGACACTACTGAGCTTCATGATCTAAGAGTGAGGGACACGAGACTGCTACTCCTGAACCACAGCACATAGTGAATGACCAATGCCAACCAAGCTACAGTATTAGAAGTGGAAAAAAAACCCAAACCAATCGACCAAAAAAATAACACAGGCGGAATAATCAAAACTATCACTTAAAAATACCTGTATTTTGTTTAAATTCTGCATGTAATGTGCCATGGGAAGGCCACTTTAGTGAGGCATCTGTCTATAATATGGATTAAAAAATAGTGAGCAGAAACAGCATGGAAATACTGATCTTTGCTATGAGGAAAGAGCTATCATGCCAAAATTAACAGAAGTGAATGGGAGAAGCAAAAGATGAGGAAGTTATCATGGCTGCCAGTACAGAATAGTTCTCCCTGATACTGATATTTGGATAATTTGGATGCATGGAACACAGTAACCTCTGAGGACTTGTAGACACTGTGGGCCAACATCTGCTCTTTGATGGGCACATGTAGTTCCCTTAAAATCAATGGAAGATGCTTTGTGCCAATCTGAGGGATGATTTTGGGCTAATATTTGCAGTTGGACAAGTCAGAAAAATCAGCATAATGATTTTTGTGACTAGAAAGTAGAACAATTTGGGGCTAGTTTTATGGCAAATTCTTAACAGAACAAGTCTTTGCATCTCATACTGTCATATGTGGAGTAGAGAAGATGGTTCAATGGATATGCAAATATTAGACCTTCCACCAGATCAGTGGTGCATGCTATTTTTTTCAGAGAGAGGAAAGAGAGTTAGCCAGTGGTAAAGTGGGAAAATGAGAAATATAAATGGGTTCAATCCAGCTGGAAGCTAGAATAGAGCTATGTTGATATAAATACATTTTTTCCTCTTTGAGGGGAAAGACACCTGAAGGAATGTTTGAAATGTATATTGTGTTGGAAACAAAAGCATGGATGTGTTTCATAATGACCTTATTAAAATAAAAGACAGGAGAGAGAAACTCAAGCACATGCGAAAAACCCTGCCTGGTCTCCTTAGCTGTTTGCCCCATTTAGCCAGTTTCATTTGGAAGCTCTGTTTTTCATGCTGGAAAACTCTTACTGAATACATAAGAATAGCAAACTAGCAATAAGAGTGCTACAGAAATAATTTAATTTTTGCATGTCAGTTCTCTGCAGTCAAACTTCTTTAACATTTTAGACTGTCAGGTCAGGAAAAGGTGACCTTAGTTTACTCGCCCCTTTCAATATTTAGTGTAATTTCTTTTGAAAAATATGCAGTTCAAACTTCTAATGAAAAATATGCAATTCAAACTTCTTTCAAATGGACAGTCCTCATGTTATGTTACACACCCTGAGGGGCTTAAAGGAGAGAGGCCTGCTTCCACTGGATGGAAAAGATGTTTAATAATGCAATGAAACACAAACTCCTCTCTATCTCCCCCTTTCCCCTCACCCCCGATATTTTAGATCGATTCTTAGTAATAAGTATTGCAATCTTTCTGGAATGTGTCAAATGGATTTTATTTTATAAATTGATATGGATGTTTAAATTTTTAGGATGGAATCCTGCCCCACTGATGTCAAACGGGTGTTTTGCCATTGATTTTGATGAGGCCAGGATTTTACCCTGTCTTTAATGGAGTGCTGATGTCTCTTTTCACCAGTAACAGTAACTAGGGGCCCTCTGGATACCAGACATTTTGTTGTTATAAGCTAACATCCGTGACTCTGGATAACTTCTTACTAGAAGAATTTAGTCTTTTACCAAAAATAGATAATGTCACTTAGGGCTCGGTTCTTTTCAAAGAACTTGAAAGTGACTAGTAAAAATGGTATGTCATTCCTCTTCAGTTAGGTACGGAAAATATTTAAGAGTCACTGCTGATATGAACAGGTTTCAGAGGGGTAGCCGTGTTAGTCTGTAAATTACAGCTTGGAATTACTTTTGTTAAAGGAAGTGAAAAAAGTGCTAGTTGTGTTGGATATTTAAATGTTACAAATAATACTGCAGTAACTTTATTCTTATTTTGCTGACTCTATGAATAGTATAATGCATAATAAAACTGCACAATTTGACAGATTTAGACAGCTGGCTCATTCACCAGAAGTTCACATTTTGTTAATGTCGCCCACGTTGAATAAGGGAAGATTAGTTGGTAAGGTCAATTTACAAAAATGGTTGTCAGGACATTTTTTTTAATTGTAAAACTTTTTGTGATGGAATTCAGTAAAAAGACTATAGGCAGAAAGCAGTGGAGACAAAGAGCTGCTATTAACCTACAGATGCAGGCTACTGCAGGGTTCATTGCAAGATTTGTCACACTGCTTAGCCAATGAAGTGTTAGTGTGACTAGAAGGGACCACCCTTTTCTGGGGTAAGAGGGCAATTTGGTCTCCATGCTCATTTAATCCTGAGACTTCTTTGAATAGACTGTCACTTGAATCTACATTGTGCAAAATTATGCATGCACTTTTTAATGCAGACTATTGTTCACTAAGCACTCAACCAAGATTTCTCAACCAATTTCCATTTGGCACGAGGTCAGCTGAAACCCAAGTAATCGTATATGGAAGGCAAGTGTAGCTTTCTGTTCACTTTAGCCAGTCTCTTAACACAGATCGGGACAAATATCAAGCATACTTTCCTTGCAAATTTCAGATGTATTAAAATAAGAGACTGAAAACATCCATTAATGGAAAATTAGTTAAAAGTCACTGTCCTATAGAGGTCATTTTCTTATTGGTGGGAAATCTTGCTGGACTATGTTAGACTGCATTGCTTAAACTACTATCCACTGTTGATATAGGAACAGCAGTTTATAGGACTATGATGGGAACACTGTGGTTGTTCTGTTCTCTCTTTGTAGGTAAGTTTTTCTGTAAGGCAGTGCAAAGGAAACCTTATATGTGACAGGTATGAACACACAGATCTGGCTACACATCACGGGATCAAAGGGCAGGGGTGGATTGGGGGTGGTCCCCCGGTCTGAAGGTGTCTATAGTTAAAATATTAACTAATGCTTTAAAAAACCTGAATACAGCATGTACACCAAATTTATTGATACATTTACAAAAATTCATTTTTTGTTAACTCTTCAAGGAACATTTACATTTAAAACCATATTTGGCAATAATTGTCATATAATGTTTTGTACAAGTGACACCTTATGTAGCCAAGATTTGCTAAAATGAGCTCTTGTCCAGTGAAGTTCCATTCAGTGTGAAATCTGTAACAGTCTAATCATGTATAATCTGGGCAGTCCTGTTACAGTGAAAAGCACTTTTTATAAACATTTTTATGATATGCTGGAATTCTACAAAGATTGATTGGTGGTTGTTTTTTCATCCGTCGTAAAAGAATACATGTTGACACAAGGATACATGTCTAGATTAGATCCACAACACATTTAAGAGTGTTTGCTCTCTCATTCCCCGTCATTCCAATTAAGTTGGTGAAAAATGTAACTTTAGTATTTTACAGGACATGGTAAAGCTGTTTCATCTAGGTGATGTCTATATTATAAAAATAAAATAAAATAATATAAATATGTAACATGAACCCAGTGCCCAATGTTAAATAAAATATATGATAAAAAGCAGACCTTCTAGGATGACTCGTTTTGAGATATGCTGATATAATTTAATTATTAAACACTTGAAACAATCTTGATATTAAGTTGCAATAACCAGATTTCTGCATCTATGCCAGATAAAGAAGTAAGTGCATAACATTCTGTAATAGAGATACATTGATGAAGGTGAAGGTTACAATCTTACAATGAATTGCCTATTTAGGAATGCATTAAGGAGTCTGGAAATATTATCTCATAGTGTAGTTTATTTCACCTTAAAAACTGTTATAACCAAATTTAATTAAATCCAGCAGTTTGTACAGTAATGTTTCAAAACTCCTCTCTTTATTGTTATAATCAGATAGTTACAGATGTAAAATTGCTGGGATGTCAAAGAATCCATTATGACATCGTAAGAGTCCTTTGATGAAAATGTGGTTTAAGTGGAAACACTGTGTAAACTATTTCACATGAAGAAATATATTTCAAAAATTCCACTAGTTATGCAACCACACTTATGATGGGGTTTTGCGTGTGTTGTACATCTATACATCTGTGCCGATGTATGGATATATATATACACATGAAAAAAAATTATCTGCACATGTCTGGAAATTATAGTTAAATTAATAAAAGTAAATTGAATCACCGGTGTTTATAGCAGGATAACAGTCTTTTTAAAATGACAGGATTCAAAATAAATGCCCGTTGAAAATGTAGTATCCAAATAGTCCCAGAAACTATACAATGTAGCTGGTTAGATCCAGCAAATAGGATGTCATGTCTATAATCTGATCAAGAATACCTGCCCTTGTCACTCTTCGGATGTTTCTATCCACTTGTTCACACTGGGGGCCAAGATATCCTTTTTTACACAAGCACTTATTGGGTCTTACACAGACACCTCCATGTCGACATGCTGGATCACATTTTGCTGTGGGGGGAAAAAAGTATTCTAATTCATGTTGAGAATCTTACTAAGAAATAGAAAAATCAAAGGCATGCACATGACATGAGAGCTACTTCGCGCCAGTGACTGTGATGATAAGAAAAAAAATTAAAAGTATGGAGTATGAAGGAGTTAATGGTGCTAAAAAAAAGTTGCAGAATGGATACCCAGAACTATAAATACTGTTTTCATGCTTCTAAGAGGACCTCGCAAGTAATGGATTGTGAATATAAATAGCTATTTGATTTATGGCAAAATTTTCAAAAGTGTTTAATTGACTTAGGTTCCTCGGTCTCTTTTTAAAAAGTGAGTTAGGCACTTGGAAATCTAGGGTTCAGGTTTATAAAGGTATTTAGGCATTGTTCTCCCTGGCTTAGGTACCTAAATCTCATTTTCAAAAGTTACTTGGCACCTAAGTCCCATTGACTTTCAGTGAGACTTAGGCATCTATGTCAGTTAGACATTACAATGTTGAGCAAAGCAACACCTAAATACCTTTAAAAAATCTGGCCCAAAGTCACTTTTAAAAATGGGACTTAAATTCCTAAGTCATTAGGTCCACATTTTAAAAGATATTTAGGTCTTGCAGTGCTCCTCATAGCAACACTTCACTGATTTAGGAGCTTAAATCTCTTTCTTAAAAGTGGGGATTTAGTCATTTAGCAGCTTAAATCCCATTGACAGTCAATCCCTAAATATCTTAAAAAATTTGGGCCTTAGGCACTTAGTGTCTCTTTAAAAGATCCCTGAAAATTTACCACTGCAATTCTTTATTATTCTGTTACTCAGAATTTCCAGAGAATTTTTAACTGTAAATATTATATTGAGTTCTAACTAATTTTAGCCAAACCAACAATAAGTAACTGCAATTGTGTAACTTTTTTTAGCCCTTTGTTTGGGCTGGGCAGTATTATGATGAAAATATTCAGACGCTTTTTGTCATGATGATGCCACCCTGATGATATTTAATGATGTCTAAGACAAAATAGATGTATAAAAACTCAGGTCTCTTGGTTTTCATTAACAATTTCTATTTTTCACTATAAGCCCCTCTTAGAACCAGATTATTGACTCACAATTATTTACTTTTATTATTTAGAATACGTTAGTGGCACAAGGTCCCATCCAGGGATCTGAGCACCATTGCTAAGTGTAGTCTGACATGTAGTAAAGAGAGAATCCTTGCTCTTTCCTAAGTTGCAAGTACTGGACTATATTAGATCATCCTACAGCCAACCTGCCAGAAGGGGAGGGATGATTAAGCACTCCATTAGATTCACATCGGAGCTTCTTCCTGGAGCTCCCCTTGGGTAGGGAAAGTGGAAGGGGTACTGTCCAGAGTACAGACTTGCAGATTTTAGGGCTTCTGTGCAGAGGGTCTGCCCTTTTGTGCTTCTGTATGGGATTCTTTTCCCAGCTAGTGCTGTGCTGCCATCATCTGTCTTACTTGCTTTTTATTGTATACCCACATCCTTGTCTGAGCCATCATCAGCTCAGACATCAGCTCAGCTTTGGGATTAGGGTTTGTTCATTAACTTTTGCTTCCTTTGATGACACACCCAGAGCAAAGTACTGGGTCCCAGAAAAAAGTTGGAACATAGATTTAAAAAAAAAGAAGGCTTGGCAACAATTTGATGGATTTAAAATATGTAAGTGTTTATAACCCAGAGAATTTTCCCAGTGGATTATAAACATTTTACAATTATCAGTTATATCTTGTGCTGAAATATTTATCAAATTCCCTTTAATCAAATTAACTAGAGTCACAGTATCTTATAGGGAAAAATAAAATAAAAATGCAAAGGCATTTTAAATAAAAGACCACATCAAACTGGCTGACTTTAAAGTATGCAAAGGAATAATTGTAGGGACAGATCCTGCAGCCCCTTCTCAGCAGGTAACTCTTATTTTAGTCAGTGGTAATTCTATGTGGGGGGAGACTGCAGGTTCAGTGATTTAGGACCAGATTTTTCAAGGTACTGTATTTAGTTGCCTAATTCCCTTTGATTTCAGTGAGAATAAGGCACCTAAATGTCTCTTGAAATCTGATTCCTGATTTATATTACTAGAATTTCCTTTGTATTTTACAACATTGTTGAAAGGTAAAATAGGAGTATATTGTAGTCTATAATGTTATTGCCATTAATTAATGGAACTCTACATGCTCTACTTAAGGATCTCACATTGTAGCCTTAAATATTACATATTGTAGATCTTTCATCTGGTCTTCTACTTCACCCATCACCATGGTATCAAAGCGCCTGTTTGTTCTGTGCTTCTAGAAGCTACAGTAAATTTGCTTGATCAAAGATTTTATCTCAGCAAGTCATTAAAGGCAATTTTTGGGGTAGGTAATTGCTATTTTCATTCATTGTCATGAACCTAAATACTAACCAGTTCTGCAGAATTCTCCTTCCCAGCCTTGATTACAGCAGCATTTTCCCGTTGGAGTGCAGTGCCCATTCCGACAATGTCTTGAGCATTCAGACGTCAATATCTGTGCAGACTGAGCTGTTCTTTTGCATTCTTCAGGGACTAAAGGTCTGTAGAAAAATATACGAGCCAATTACTTATTTAAAAATCAGGGCCAAGGGGAGAGAATGCTTTCACACGTGAAATAAAAAAAACTTGCTTTTTTCTCTATTTCCTCTAAAGAAAGCTGTTTAAAATGGCCCATATAGAAAAGCGTTCCGTTTTGTATAGAAAACATGTGAATACTGTAAGTGAAAACAAATCTCTTTTCACATAAAAGGATTATAAGAATACTGTCAGTTGAAATCTTTTAAAGACCTTATCATGAATCATATAATTCCTTTTCCTGCATTCAGACTGTCATTGTTGACAGTGAACGTGGAATGAAAACTGTACTTTTTTCTTAATAAAGGCATGCTCCTTTTCTCATTGGTAACTGTCACAGTTTCAGGATAAAGTTGCCTGTATTCCCCCCCCCCATGGTCCTTCAAGGGTACCCACTTAGGGTTTGCGGATCCCAGTTATCACCTCTCTTGGGTGATGACTTCTCTCTCTCTCTCTCCTCCCCAGCCGTTTTAAGGCTGCACAGCTCCCTGCCTTTCACTGTGATATTCCCCGCAAGCCAGTCTGCCTAAAGGCCAGCCCCTGTGCTTTGCTTTCTTCCCGAGGGCTATGATCACTGTAATGCCAGCAGTTACCACACAGCTCTTTCTAAACAAGCACATTTATTCTTAAGGTAAAAACTTTACATAGAAAGCATATAAAACAATTCAAGTTCCTATGCACATGCTAAAAGCTTGCTAGAGGTCATCCATCAGTCTTACTGGGCCATAATAGGCCAAGTCTTTCCAACCCTTTCATAAGGGTTGGGGGCTCCTGGGACAGAAGGTCCTGTCCATCTGCTGGATCAGAAAGAAGGCCCTGAGTTAGTTGAAACACAGTCTTTTGATACCATAAGTCATTTCTTTGTCTATTGGTTTCTGGAAAAAGCAGTTTGAACTAGGATATGCAAGACTCCTACAGGGTTGGTACCTCGCGGGAGGTGTTTACAATCTGAGTGATTCACTCTAATCACCTCTCCCCTGTTCTGAGTTCCTAGAGGAGCTGTGGCAACTCTCTCTCTAGGAATTGCATACAGTCCCTGGCACGCAGTTATACATAAGCTATTAATACTCTTAACACAATATGGTCTCCAAAGATATTGCATCTGGTTGCAATATCTGTCACATATACCAATACAAGTTTTGCCAGATTGGGAGCAAGATTGGGTTCTAAGGGAATAGTCTTTTTCTCATAACCATCATTCAAAGAAGGATGACACATTTTATGTTCTTAGCAAAACACAGTACAATGCATCTTTGTATGCAGTGTTGATGGAGCTGTGTCAGTCCCAGGATATTAGGGTGAAAAGTTGGGTGAGGTAATATCTTCTATTGAACCAATCTCTCTTCTGTTCTCTCACCAACAAAAGTTGGTCCAATAAATATTACCTCACCCACCTTCTCTCTAACGCATCGTTTCATACAAACTGTCTTCTAAGGTATTATTCAGAATTAAACAATATGTATTGAAACCACATATGAAGGTAGCACAGAACACCAATGCTATGAGAGATGAACTGCCTCCTGATGGAGCTCCCTGGTGGAGCTCAAGAATTTGATTTTATCTTAAAAGGCCCTAAATAATTTTGTAACTGTTTAGCTAAGAGGCTGCCTCTCTCCCTGGGCCTGTACTGCCACTACTGAGATCAGCAGCAGTGCTTAAGTGAGCTAAACATCTTCTGTACTGGAATTCACTTTCCATGCTTAGTCTGTTGAAGCCTGGTATTCTTTCACATGCACTGTAGAGTTCGTGTCTCAGACCCATTTGGAGAAATTGGAGTCCATAAGAGGAGGAACTGGAGGCTGAATGATGATTTAACTAGGGTCCCATAATATGGCAGGATTAATGATTTTCATTTTTGTGGGACTGTCTTTGATTTGGAACAATTGTATTTATTTAATATATATTTTACAAAGTATTTTATTGAACACTTTAAGTTTTTAATTATGTGGTTTAAATTTTAGGACCTTCCTAGATTTCTGAATAGATACTTGACAAATCAAGACAATTTACACTTTAATAATAATGGGTGAGGAGCAGAGAAAAAGGTATAGGAAAGGGACAAAAGGGATTTTTGGACAGAACTTGAAAGAGATTAAGGGATTTTAGAAGATTCTCACCAACAGTGAGAATAAAATAATAGTTGTGTGGAGGGAAAGAGAAAGCTGCTGCTAGGCAAGTGTATGGAGTTGGAAGGGCAGTAGAGAGAAATAAGGTAGGCTGGAGGGCTAAAAAAAATTAGAACAATTCTGAACTGGATGTTGAAATGAATCAAAAGGCAGTGAAGTTCAAGGAGATTCAAGTAGGGAGAGACACCTAGAGAAAACTCCATAATATGGTGGAAAGAGGGAAGCATGTGGGGGGGGAGGGGGCAGGATTTATAGACTCATAGACTCATAGACTCTAAGGTCAGAAGGGACCATTATGATCATCTAGTCTGACCTCCTGCATGATGCGGGCCACAAAAGCTGACCCACCCACTCCTGGAAGAATTCTCTCCCTTAACTCACCTGTTGAAGTCCCCAAATCATGATTTAAAGACATCAAATCGCTGAGAATCCTCCAGCAAGCGACCCCTGCCACATGCTGTGGAGGAAGGCGAAAAACCTCCAGGGCCTCTGCCAATCCACCCTGGAGGAAAATTCCTTCCCGACCCCAAATATGGCGATCAGCTGAACCCTGAGTGTGCGGGCAAGATTCTCTAGCCAGACCCTCTGGAAGAAGTTCTCTGTAGTAACTTTTAATATCCCATCATTGACCATTGTTACTAATTACCAGCGATGGCACGTTATTGACCTATTGACTAAAATCACTTTATCCCATCAAACCATCCCCTCCATAAACTTATCAAGCTTAATCTTAAAGCCAGAGAGGTCTTTCGCCCCCACTGTTTCCCTCGAAAGGCTGTTCCAAAACTTCACCCCTCTGATGGTTAGAAACCTTCGTCTAATTTCAAGCCTAAACTTCCCGATGGCCAGTTTATATCCATTTGTTCTCGTGTCCACATTAGTACTGAGCTGAAATAGTTCCTCTCCCTCCCTGGTATTTATCCCTCTGATATATTTAAAGAGAGCAATCATATCCCCCCTCAGCCTTCTTTTGGTTAAGGTAAACAAACGGAGCTCCTCGAGTCTCCTTTTATACGACAGATTTTCCATTCCTCGGATCATCCTAGTGGCCCTTCTCTGTATCCGTTCCAGTTTGATTTCATCCTTTTTAAACATGGGAGACCAGAACTGCACACAGTACTCCAAATGAGGTCTCACCAGTGCCTTGTATAACGGAACCAGCACCTCCTTATCCCTACTAGAAATACCTCGCCTAATGCATCCCAAGACCGCATTAGCTTTTTTCACAGCCACGTCACATTGCCGACTCATAGTCATCCTGCGATCAACCAGGACTCCGAGGTCCTTCTCCTCTTCCGTTACTTCCAACTGATGCGTCCCCAGCTTATAACTAAAATTCTTGTTAGTCATCCCTAAATGCATAATCTTACACTTCTCACTATTAAATTTCATCCTATTGCTCCAGTTTACAAGGTCATCCAAATCTCCCTGCAGGATATCCCGATCCTTCTCCGAATTGGCAATACCTCCCAACTTTGTGTCATCTGCAAACTTTATCAGCCCACTCCTACATTTGGTTCCGAGGTCAGTAATAAATAGATTAAATAAAATCGGACCCAAAACCGAATCTTGAGGAACTCCACTGGTAACCTCCCTCCAACCTGACATTTGAGTGTGGAACAGCTGGATCTTTAGGAGGTGAGGGAATTGAAGGGAATACAAAGTTAGTGGTGGTTTTGGTAAGGGATGAGGAAGATGGTGGAGTCTGGTGAGGAATATCACATATACTACCAACTAAGGCAGAACATTTAAAAAGCAGGTTAGACAACACCTGTCAGGGATGGTCTAGATAATACTTATTACTGCCATGAGTGCAGGGGACTGGACTAGATGACCTCTCGAATTCCCTTCCAGTCCTATGATTCTATGATTTTTAAGGGAGCCCCTTATTAAAATTTTGGCATCACATAACTGTCATAGAAGCACAGTAGTTAAAGGCCCATTAGTTCATCATATACATTGCCATGCCAGTCCAAGATTGCACACTTTTAGCTCACTATTACATGTCTAAAGCAATGGGGTTTCTATCACTTGTCCTTTTTTAGATGTTTTAGCTGAGATCCTATAGTACCAGCCTTTACAGGGTGCAAAGGTATATTTTACACAAAAATACTGAATATTTAAAGTTAAAGTGATAACTAAAGGTTATTTTATTACTCAGTAGGAAATTATATAGACACAATATATATACAATAATGGGATGTTAATGAATTTAATTAGGGCAGAGGTACCAAAGATATATAACTACAATAGCTGATGGTGTTTCAGCCTTTCTGTGTCTTTACTCTTTTCTTCTTCTTCCTGATTAACAGTATATCTTGTTGAAACCTTAAAATTCCACTGGTCCTGCTTTTCTGTGTCTCGTCTGTTCAGGAACTTGGTGTTATTCAATGGAAGTCACCCAGCAGGACTATGTGGACTTTTCTTCTAGGTGCTCAGATACTCCAGGCTAGAATCTCTCTGCCTCCTGTTTCTGTTGGCTTTTCTTTTAGCTAAGTGCCTGGTTTCTGATTTTTACCTGCAGAGAGCACTCTGAATGGAGGTATTTTATGTCATATATTATGACTCGTGCAGCCATTTTGCAACATCTAGCAACATCATTGCCGCATTCTACAACTTCCATTTGAAACTCCAGATTTTTTTTGCCTTGTGCATTCATAATGAAATCAAACTTTGCTGTAGTTTTGATACCAGTGTAAATGGAGCGTATACCTTGAGGGATGTCGAGTTCAATTGACAGAAAGAATTTACTGCTGAGCACCAATATTTCTTGCAGGATTCTGTATGTTATAGGTTTTATGTAATGTAATTTTTCTGCCAGCTTCTAGATAGAAGTATTT